AGACCGATGCTATTTATGAAAGGAATCAAACTTCCAATCTCCTAATGGTATGCTCTTAGCAAAAGGGTTCCATATTTCTTAAAAAGAGTTCTATGAACTGTAACAATAGTGTGACCTTTTGATGCTATACAGAACCATTTTTAAAAGGGGTTCTTTAAAGAAACACGCACAACTGGTTTTCCATCATAGAGAAAAACTATTTGACCATGCAAAAAAACATTTCTTTATTCAGATGGTTCTTTATTCAGAGAGTTCATGGATTTATATGGAACCATTGCCTTTACCAAAGAACCGTTGAAGGACCATCTTATTTAAAAGTGTAAGACCAACACTGAGATGGTTGCCACACTTCGGAACCCCTTTCCAATCACCAATCTGTCCAATATCATTGAAAACCACTTTTTCAAATAAAAAAGTTTAAATATCATAAGTGAGTGGGGTATTTCCAAATGGGTTCTGTAATTATATGCTACAATATTTTCACTTCACTTGTCTGATAAGTTTATGACTGCTTTATGTATCATTCTGGTTGTTGTGATCACTCATCTTTGCAGCTAAAGATTTGTGTTTGTTGCCATTTTCTAGGCTTAATAGGCCAATGATTTTATTTTTTGAAGATATCATATACTCAATATATTTCATATATGATTTATTGAATGCTGCACTAACTGTATTTTTGAACAGGCCAGTTGCGATGGGGTTCGGTTGGTCTGTTTATCGCTAGGTTCATGTGATGATAAGCTCTGTTCAGCTGGTTTGTCATGTATTTTCATTGAACACACCTCATGGACCATGCTTGTAACTCAAAGTCACTTATGTTTAGCAGGCTGAAGGTTCTCCACTAGGGGGAGCTATTAGTGGTTACATTGCTTTTATGTGCATCATTAGAAAGGAGGAACTTGCATAAATAACAATTATGGAGACTGTGATGCTGTGTTAGAGTGATGAATAATGGCAGCTAACCCATACCACCCCATATACCCCCACCCACTGGCAAAGCCACGCCACTGCCAATTACATTTCACAAACTATAGTGAGATTAGTTATTACTTCCTGTAAAAAGTAATCTCACTGCTCATTACTTTACTTCTAAGTTACTCTTTCTAAAACCCATACCAATTGGTACCAAGCGGAAAGTGCAAAGGGAAATCTGAAAGTCCTGTCAGTACTTTATTTAGAAAGAAATAAGCAATCACAGTAAATATAATTTTAAAAGCATACCACTATCTCTGTCTTTGCTCTGAGCCAGTTATGCTCGAAACTATGTATGGCAAATGCTGCTAAAAAGTAAAACAACCATAAAAACTAGAAACTAGCCAGTAGAAACAGTGAAAAAATTGCTTCTTGAGTTTACAGTGGTGGAAAGCCACATAGTTAGTCATCAAAGCTAGCACACATGCACCCAAATAAGGACAAATACATTTATATACAAATAATTGTTCTCTTAGAGACATGTGGGTCAAGAACTTAAACTGGGATGCTGTACACTACTCTATTACATTGAAAAGCAATTACACTGCATCATGTTACTTTGTACCCCAGTACTGATTATAGCACTAACATAACCAGGGAACATATGAGTGCCTAGCAGTCTCCTCCAAACACTTAAGAGTACAACAATATTGAGTGACCTGTAGTCTAAAGAGGAGTAGTGGAACAGAAAACATGGACTGACCTTCACCTTTCTAGTGTAGAAGTGCTGCTTGTGATCGGGGAGATACCTCATTTAACATTAGAGGACAGGAATAATAACTACAATCTAGCATGATTCGTGTCAAGATATTGCTTCTGTTCATTAGCAGTGATGCACAATATGCCTCAGAAACAGATCACATCAGAAGTGGCCAAAGGGCTGTGCTTTGTGAGTCAAGGCTCATGTCAACCTCAGAAAATGGATTCTTTGGGAACCAAAGAAGCAGCCCTACGTGAGCCCTCGGCTGTTGAGTAAGGATTGAGAATTTTTTAAATTACGCAAGATGAATTTGGTGGGGTATAGGATGGTTGGTGAAAAAGCACTAACATATTGACAACACATTTTGAGAATTACTTTTCCATAAAATTTCCGAGACCAGTAACATCACACTGTCAATGCAAGCTGAATACATGCAGCTCATGCACGCTTGAGTTTAGGCTTACAAACAAAGGTCTCTGGCAGTGAGCAGTTGACCTAACAGCTATCTTCACTACCATTTATTTGTATCAACATTAGGTGATTATTGTCTAATAGATACATAAATAAATAAATGTGCATCCACATTTGAAGTAGTAATTCAGAATGACTGAGCTGCCAGATATTTGCAATTATTTCCATTCATAAAATTCTAATTAAAGCCAAAATGGATTGTTATTTAGTTTTGTTGTGGTCAGGAATTCAACAACTAGATGTTTGGTGTTTATCACACCCCAAAAAATCTACTTCCAGTTTATTCCACCGAAGAGAAAGTTGGGAAAATTAAACTCTTGACAGAAGGCTCCTCTTACTTCTGTGTTCTGCAGAACGTTGCCGCTTATGTTGGCAGGATTCTTGTTTGCGGCTGCACTGAAAACAATGGAACATCCCTTTTGCCACCATCCATCTCCTGCAAACATATATGGCATAAGGCCAGAAACCTGCTTCACGCAAATACATGAATGTAAATGCTTCAAGCTACTGTACATGTTCTATATAGCACCAAAGGGGTTCTACTTTTGTATACAAGCTTGACATTGTAACAATAGAAGGGTCATTTTCAAAAAGGCTCTATACAGAACCATATACAACACATCTATCAATCTGAAGAGCCATTTCACCATGCAAAGAACCATTTAAGCATGAAATGGTTCTATATAGAACTCATGGTTCTAAATAGAACCCTTGCCTTTACTAAAGAACCCCGGAAGAACCATCTTTTTAAGTGTGTATAAAGCATTGAATATCATTATAATGGCTCTCACTGCTGCTTTGTTTGCCTATTTTTATGTATTAGTTACAGTATGTACACAATAGCCTCCTGATGTTGCTGCCCCCCCAACACTTGACCGAATTTGCATCCCCAAACGTGGATCACGTACAGTGATAATATTGTGTCTTAGGGCTTCCTTGATTCTCAGCTCTGTTGGATTGTTTTGCAGCAGGCCAGCATCCGGTCACACATTTAGACTACATCACACCGTAGGCGTGCTCGTTCTCCCTTGACAAATGAAGACACATGAAGAAATAGATCTTTGTAGAATACATGAAAAAATCAACTCTCTCTCACTTACACACAGGCACACAAACACAAACAGAAACTCCTGCAGTCTATGATTCACTCCATAAAAAAGCACTAATGCATCCGCAAATTGAGCAAGATTCTGTAAGGGTTGTTTTCCACCTGCAGAAGTAGACATTAACACATCCTCATTCATCACTTTATTAAGGTGCCAGATTATAACACATTAGCTGTACGTCATACTCAGATGTAAGCTGGAGTCTTATAGACGTATACCATGTACTATATAGCTAGAAGAGACCTCCCACAGGTCACATTCACCAGAAGAGAAACTCTGCACACTAAGGCACTAAAGAGGGCAATTACTGCATCATTAGTTACTGCCTTGTGAAAAATGAGGCAGAATGGAGTATTTTTAGCCAAAGTAAAGAAGGCTTTAAGGATGCTGGCAATTTGTTACTGCGACCTTGTTTGAACTGAGACTCACTTCTATAGCATCTTTGATGTTTGCACTATATATACACACCTATATGTATTTATTGGACATCACTTTCCAAAACCATGAGCATTAATATGGAGTTGCCCCCCCTTTGCAGTTATAACAGCCTCCACTCTTCTGAGAAGTCTTTCTACAAGATTTTGGAGCGGGCTGTGTCTGGTCTGGCTCTGATGTTGGACAAGAACTGATCACATTTGGATCTCACTTTTACAGTTCTCTCAAGTGCATCTTTTGTCAGCAGCTGGAAAATCAAATTCAAACACTGGCGCACTTATCAGAGCTTAAGGCTTGAAGCAACAGTTGAAGGGCTGGGAAAATACGACAGAGCTTGGGATTGGTCAATTGGACTATAGCTCAGACATTCAGGAAAGATGAAGAGCCTAATGATTTTGACTGGCCATGATACAATAACAGCACTCACGTTTGATTGGAAAGGCCTGATCAGTGTGATCAGCTCTCGTCTACTGAGCTCCCGTTGTAGGTTAGCACATATTTTTATATTAAAGAGCCCTTGAAGTACCATCTTTTTAATGTGTATATTTTATCCTCCCAAAGCTTTTATTACGCGAGCTGACCTCGGACACACAGGCCCAAACTGAAGCTGGGCGTCAGACGGGAGACGCCGCTTTGTTTTTCCCACCCGTTTTCTGTAAAGCCCCGCCTCCTGGCTGGTGTGGCCACACCTCCCTCGCTGCCATTGCCTAGCGGCATTTTTCCTCCTGCGCACGGATTGGCTAGTAGCTGGGCGGACTGCTTGTTAAGTGGAGCGACCAGCCGGGAGGGGCGTGGCTTTAAGGAAAACGGGTGGAGGAAAAAAAATCAGCCTTCTCAGCCAATCAGTGCCGCGATTGTCCCTCTCAGATCCCGCCTCTAGAGGTCACGTGACCAGGAGGGCGCTCGAAAACCGGGTGCTCGCGTGCAGCTCGCTATTGTGGGAGTGAACGAGACGAAGTGTGCGCGCGCGCGTGTGTGCGTATATGTGTCTGTGTGCGCGAGAGCGCGAGCGAGGGAGAGAGAGACGGACTGAAGAGCCTGAACATACACACACACGCACGCACCCGGAGCGATCGACCGTGGATGTTAGGAGCAACTTCGGCGGATGGAATTGTGTTTTTGGCTCCTGCGTCTTCTCTAGGCTTGTTTGTGCACTTTCTGGACGCCTCCAGCCTCTTCATCCTCCTCCTCTTCTTCATCATCATCTCTCGGCGGACCCGAGTCCCCCTCTCCTCTCCATGGGCCAAACTCTGCCCCTCGGAAGATGCGCGCGTGTCGGTGTGTGAGCGCGCCGCGTGGCCCGGGGCTCGTCCGTGAAGCGCGCGCGGGGATCTGAGTGTGCGGGAGCTGAGGGCGGGCGGAGGAGGAGGATGAGTGTGAGGATGAGGATGAGGGTGGCGCGCTGGAGCCGGGCCGCGGGGGACTGGCTGCGGCTCGCCGTCGTCTCGCTCCTCGCCGCCTTCCCGGTCCTGCAGCCCCGCGCCTTCCCGTCCTCCTCGCTGAGCGACTGCCAGACCCCCACCGGCTGGAACTGCTCCGGTAAGCGCGCACGGTGCTGAGGGTGCTAGGAGCGGCTTTAGGGATTCCGCAGGCGATTTATTAGTTTTTTTTATTTGTTTGTTTTTGTTTTTTTTTGTTTTTTTTTGTGGGGGAGTCTATTTGTGTTTTATATATAGTCAGTGAGTGGAGTGAATCTTATTAAACTATTATTTTATTCTTTTACTTTGCGTGAAATTTATTTTTAAATATTATTTTATGTACTTTTTTAAAGCCATGAGTCCATGTGTTTCAAGTGCTTCGTGCCTTCTCTTTCTTTTTTTATTATATTATTTATTTTTGGTTCTGCATTTTTTTTTATTATTTATTTGATTATTTTTAAATATTATTTCGTGTAGCTTTTTTACTGAGTTCATGTGATTTTAGTGCTTTTTTCCTTTTTCATCTATTTTATTTATTTACTTTTTAATCCTCTGACTCGGTGTGTGTACAGGACACCTTCGCGGCAATAAACGAACAAAAAAAAAAAACTTCGCATACGTCGTAATTTTTGAATCTGTGCGGTTTTAGATGAGAAAATGGCAGCACATACCCGAGAAATGCATCTCTGAAAGTTACAAGCTTCGTCATTTTTAATGCGATCTTTCTCCCACATCCGTTAGATGCCACTGGAGTGGAGACTCTGGCTTTAACCGTTAAAGTATCAGCCGGAAAACGGTGCAGAACCATGTATAATGATAATACCGGTGAGCGAAACCAACATTATCCACATGCCTTGTGTGAAAAAGAGAATCTGAGTTTCATTGAACGGTTTATTTAAGCAGCTCTTCCAGCACAGCGACCTAAAAGGCTGCGGCTGGCTGGGATGGTAGTGTTGGACTTTCTCCGGACTGATTAATGGTGGTGCGTTGCTTTCAGTCTGCAGTCTGTGGACGCTCTTCCTCCAGAAATGAGTTAAATTTTCCCTCGGGGGGTTATTTCCACATCGTCCACATCACACTGCCTCCATTCCCCCCAAACCATCACATTTTCTGACGCCTTTTTTTGGTCTAAGCGTCTCCACAGATGTCAACAGCTGATATTCGAAGGCTAGCTAGCGTTATCCTAACAGTCTCCACTCTGGAACCGCCAAAATAATCACAGAAATCACACAAACATTCAATTTAATATGTGTAATGTTCCTAAGTTTCCAAGGCTAACCTGCTGCTCCACAGACCCGCTTAGCTTGGGAGACGTTAAAGGGGAACTCCACTGATTTTTTCAAAATGTACGTGTAATTCAGTGTTAGAGAGAAATAGAGATATGTAAATAGAGTCCTTTATACCGGTTTGGTTTGAAATGGTTCATTGTAGAGATTGAGATTTCTTTACAGAGGTGGTGATAGGAACCAGAGGTCGCCATGTCTACAACATAAATTTTATGTTACATATACATTTTATTTACTATCCAAAACCATCAGTGAACCTTATGCAGAATGTTGATGATGGTAAAATAAAAGTTTCATTGGGGACTACTCTGCCTTATAACAAACTACATATATCCTTCCACTATTAATGGATTTTAAAAGTACATTGTAGCCCAAAAGTTGATCTCAAAACTATCATAAAATAATGTGTCAGGCATCGGGCTGCATATTCATAACCATTTCATGTGATAACATTCTGTGAGAGAGCTTTTAGAGCAAGATGTCTGGTTCCTATCTCCACCACTGTGAACAGTTCTGACTCAGAACAGAGCATTTCACATCAAACCTCTCTGAATGACTTGGTTTAGATCTTAACAATTGAGTTATGCTGAAATTTTGGAAAATCTGTGAATTTCTCCTTTAACCAGCTATTAGCCTAGCTTAGCTTTTGGGCTTGTTTTCACTCTTTCACTGAAGTAGGTTGCTGTACAAATTTTTTTTCAGCCCTTAACAGCCAAGGACATTCATTCATACAGCAGCAGCCGCAGTCCCCCTTAAATCGTTTTCTGATTTATGGAGGCCTGAATGTCTTTTTTTTTCCTCTCCCAGTTTCTCTGAGGCGTTTACTACTACAGTACCGGTAAAAACTCCAGAGTTAAATTAGCACCCACAGTGTTGAATAGACACTATAGTCCAAGTTTAGGACCAGCTGGGCACAAATGAAAGTTTAATTTTTGCTGGGGTCTTTGCTGCTGAATTTACTTTTAGTGTTCATTTGTTTCCAGCTGGACTTAAATGAACACTACTTGGGAATTGTAGAATGGGAATTCTGCTGGTTCCTCAACATTTCTGCATAATTCAAGTCTTTAAGATGTAAACAAATGGGTTTGTAGTGAAACCAAGTCTGGGTTGTGCACGGTGGTGCTGATGGGAACCAGACGTCCACCTCTGAAAGCTTCCTCACAGAGAGCTCTCACTTAAAATTCTGGATTCACTTAAGATTTCTGGAGTCTGGAGACGTACATTCAGGGTGTTGTAAGGCAAAATAGTCCCAAATAGGGCTGGGCAATATGACGATGTGTATCATTATCGTGATAAATAATGTCACAGTACAATACAATATGCTTTTCGGAACATATCCTGGATATTGTCAGTACTTGTAGAACACTGAACAACTGCCTGTTCTAGAAAGTAAAATAAGTCCTGTTTAATTGGATTTAGTGCAACACAGTGTGCCACATATTGAGTAAAAATCATTATATTCACAGGTTTTGGTAGTATTTTATCATGAATTGTAAAAAGTTCTTGAAATATCACAATATTAGGTTTTTGCCATATCACGCAACCCTTTTCCCAAAGGAAGCATTTGTTTCAGATTATTACTGTATCAACATATAATATACATATAAAACTTAGGTAGGTTTACTGGTGGTTTTGGATAGTAAATAAAATATGTTGTAGACATGGCAACCCCTGGTTCCTGTCACCACCATTGTAAATAAATGTGAATCGTTACATTTCTTTTCACATGTTTATGACTCAGTGGTTGAATTTTGCAGAGATATTGGGATAATTCACCTCTGGGGATTTTAAATACATTCAATATATGATTTGCATCTTGTTGTACTTTATATTAGGCCTTTCAGGGCAGCAAGTTCACATTTTTTGTCATGTTCAGAGCCACAGTGTCTCTAAGGATGAATAATTGAAGATATTTAAGCCTTTAAAATGTATCAGAATTGGGCTAAGGTGATCTGTAATAGCTCTACAAACCAGAGCTTTGGAATCAGCTAGCTGTGTTATTTGGGCTCATTTGAATTTGAACCTCTCACGCTGTGTATTGTTTTGACTGTGACTGCATTTAGACTATGTTTGTGCCTTGAAGCCAGACAACGCAAGGCAACATGTTGCTTGTTCTGTTCTGTTTCATCTTACCACCACCTTGGGCACCGGGATGTTCCCTGCTGAAAAAAAGACCATTAGAAATATTAGGATCAAAACCTAGGCAGTAGACTTAGCAAAGTTTGAAGGTGCCTTGCTGTAGAGCTGGGTGATATGGAAAAAATATAATATAACAATACTTCAGGAACTTTTCACAATACACAATATGCAACGATATTTATTTTTTATGACATCTGATAAGTTAGAACAGAGAAATAAAGAACCAGGGGTCATATTACAAACATCTCAACCCTGAAATCCTCTGTTTAGACACCATGACAACTTCAGTTAGGACAGTAGCTATTACAGAATAACAGTTCCTAACTTCATAATCTTATATGTTAACATCAGATAAGAAAACAGTATTACAGAAACACCCTAAACAGAATAAGTCTCCCTAAATACTGTCCTAACTTTAGGATAAACCTCACCAGTCTCCTAACTTCTGTTTTAACTGTCTTTTCTAGCATTTTTTTTCAGCTGTTACAGGCAGCATAGTTCACTACTAGCATTATTATGTAAAATGTATCTATATTGTAAAACAGTGCTTTCACTTGATGTTTTTCTTTTCTAACTCAGCATTTAAAAAGACACGGTCTCCACCGTCCCCTATTATTACCTTTGTGTGTTAATGTTGATGAAAACTCGTCAGATAACATATCACAGTGATGGTGGTGAATAATGAGGAGAATGTGTGTTTGTTTTTTAGGAGGAATAACGTTAGCATGGTCAGCTAAAGCATTTGGGAAATGGAAACTGAAGCTAGGGAGCGACAACGCTCTCATAAACAGAAGGGGATGCTATCACAATGTACATAACTTCCAGTTTATTGCACTTTTGTTTAGACCTTTTTTATAGTGGTAACGGTAGCGGTAGCCTTTTTAACATTATTTTGATTATGTTTAGCTGTGTGCGGTTGGCCAGTTGGTAGGTAACAGACATAACAGCTGATCATTGACTCGACTTCGATCGAGTAGTTAAAGATTTCCCATCTTAAAATAAGATGCTGTAAGATAAGTTAACATTTCTAAATTCCTAACTAAGATAAAATTTGCTTCTGTGATGCAACAAATCTTATCTTGACCAGTCAGATCTTAACCTAAGACAAAAGGATTGAAAGCTTCTGTAATACGGCCCCAGAAGCACCACATTTAAAAAAATACTGTCAATAACAATGAATACAGTAATTTGTATTCTACATTTCACATCCTGCGCTGCAGTAATCCCAAAAAATTAATTAATTTAACATAATTAATAATGCAACATGGAGCTGGTAAGTGTTTAAGTACTGAAGATATCAATGATATACTCAAAGAAGCACATTGTGACATATTGTGATATAATTTATCACGATAACGATAAATATTGTCTTATTACCCAGCCCTACCTTGCTGCGTTCTATGGGTACCCACAGGCTAATCGCTGTGCAGCACAAACCGAGCTGTTTGCAAATGACAAAAATTGACGAGGCACAATTGCAGATGTGATGATGTCCAACATGTCCAGTCTGTTCATTTGTGATTCAAATTCTGGGTGTGAGAGAATTGCTGAGCACATTGTAGTTTTACAGACAGAGCTAAATTCGTTTGAGTGTTTGGAGATTAAATGTGTAGGGTGAGAGTTGTTGCTTTGTAAATGGGCTGGTTTACACAAATATGAGGTCAGAGATTCAGGATTGCAAATAAAGTTTTGCACA